CTATCATATGGCCCATGTGCTCTTGTGATATTATTTTTGCTTGAAACAGTTCGAAACCGTTCATGCATAAAAAAAGTTCGCTAATAAATAGTCTTTTCCGCCACCGTATACCTTATTTTTGTTTTCAAATTGAGGTTCTTCATTGTTTGATATTTACAAATGTTATTATTAGGTGAAAATTTAATTTAATAAAAAAGAACAAGAAACAAAAATATCATAATTGAACAATTTAAACTTTAATTAAATAATATGCCTTTATGCCTTTTTTACCGGGCGTTGTAATTTGCGTTTCTGTGGTTTATGCGGTTTCCGGTTCTTTAACTATTTTGGAAATGAATCCTTGACTAACATCTGAAAAAGAAATGAATTGCATTAACCAATCCATTTATCGGAAATACGAAAGGAAGGAACAAAACATAGCAATACTGACCTGTAGCAGCTGATACTCTTTTATAGACCTGATTGAAAGGCATTATCGGTGCTTACCCTCGAGCTTCTTGCTCACAAAAGTTTAATACTTAGAAAATAATGTTTCGGGCATCACTTTTAATGGTTTTCGGCATTTTTTATTTTTCTATAAACTCTCAAAACAATGACGTATCGAGTGACATTTGATTAAATGGCGGCTGTAGTTCACAATTTTGCCGCAGCTGTCAGTTCACATATAAGTTGGTGGGACTATAACGGGACAGCAATTCATGCAAACTTACAGGTTGCAACTTTACAAGGTGCAAGGTTCGGCCTTCTAGACATTCTAGCTGTTTGTCATCTATCAGACAGACAAAGCCTGCGATTTTTACGTTATTATATATATAATGGCATACTAAAAAAATTAAATCTTTGTAAGTTTGCTATATAGGTACCATTGAAAGGAAAGCTTCTAACGGTTTCTCTAAACTAAACCTCTAACCTCTCGGTTCTTCTAGGTTTTCTTTTTCAACCTGTGTAAATTTTACATGATTGTCAATAGTTTCAGAGTTAACCGATTCGTTGCGGCACCAATTTTTCGACAACTTTTAGCTGTGGCGGCGATTTTTTTACTTGTTTATACCTAATTAAGTTTATTTGACATCAAACATAAGTTACAAATGGAAGGATACTTGTTTTTAGTGGGTAACTACATGTTTTTTTACGCGTTTTCTTTGAAATTGAGATAGTGACTTTTTTTTATGAAGAGATTACAAACCTTTTGTACTATTTTTTGTTGTTATAAAAAATCATTTATATAAGTAGGTACAGCTAAATCACCCTGGAAACCTTGGTTTTTATTAAATTAAATTTTCACCTAATAATAACATTATAAATATCAAACAATGAAGAACCTCAATTTGAAAACAAAAATAAGGTATATCATTCATTGATATTTACAAATGTTAAATATTATTTAATGTTATACAAATGTAAAAGTAAAGTCGATCTGAAAACGTCTAATTAGTAAGAATAGCAAAACAAGTGTTTCCAAAAGGAAAAAACGCCGGCGCTATACGGCGGCGGATTGACAAAAGACTATTAGCGAACTTTTTTTATGCATGAACGGTTTCGAACTGTTTCAAGCAAAAATAAACCTTATACCATATCACAAGAGCACATGGTACTTCGTAGGTCTATACGGCCATATGATAGTAATAAGACGGCAGTTCAACCATTTTAATCAAAATTAAACAATAAGACAAACGCATTATTTTTTTTTAACAGGAGACTGGTTTTCCAGAAATTTATTTACAACTTGAGTTTGTGAGCGATCGCAATGAGTGCTATTATTTGTTACTTATTAGACAATTAACATGATTTAAAACCCACAAAGTAAAAATAGTACCATGTACACGTTAAAAAAAGGTTGTCAACCCCTAAAAATTTCAAATTTTCAAAATATCCAGAAACGACGCTGCATGCATGAACTACTCGCAAAATAATGAATATTTTGTTATGGATAAATTTTCCAAAAAAGCAATTTGAGCGAGTTATAACGATTTTTATAAAGACACGACTCGCGTGTCATACGCCACACACAAAAGTAATCGGTGACACGCCTGACGCCTGCGTGTCACCCGCACTGAACCGGTTAATGAGTTTGAATAAGAGTGACAAACGAGCACACAGTCTACCTGAATGGTAAGTGGATGCTAGACACCTTTTATCCTCGATTAAAAATCAAAATGTTGATGCGTTGTCACTCCTGACTGATAAAAAACAACAGCATTAGCTGCTACCTACGCAAAGATGTTAAAAAACAAATCGGTTTTCTGTTTGGATAAAACAGAATGAACACTAAATAAAAATATAACCATTTGGGAGTTTGGGAGTTTGGGAGCTCTAAAATTCGAACATTACTTATAAGTACAACACACTGCAACTTTATTTATTTGGAAGTAGACTAGAAATGAGTTAGGGGGTGACTCGAACTTTCTTTCGGCCTAGTCAGTTTGAATAGCCTATCATGTAGAGGATGTCATGGGGGGTCATGGTTGATTAGGGGTAAAAAGTTCTCCATACACTCCTAGGGGGTCAAAATGAACAAAAACCAAAAAAAATTCTTATTTCGGCTATAACTCCACCTCCTTCAGAGGTTCTTACACAATCTTTGTTTCCCACATTCCACTAGTTAAATAAGTATAAATTAGTATGGTAATAATTTCAAATTATGCAGCCATTTGTTTTTGTAAATTTATTTAATAGTAATAAACATAAGGTTTCATGTGAACAGTATCTAAAGTAAACAATACAGATAAATGAAATGCCAGTTAAAAATTCTACATTCATTATATTTCAACGACATTAAAGATGATCATTAAAATTTCAAACGTATTTGAATGTCACAGTTCTTTTTATCTAAAAGGAACACTGCAAATGATGTTTCATACAAAAAAATAAGTATCTATCAGCTGTTAAATGTCTCAGTACCACAGATTAAACAGACACATAAATAACGCAGTAATTCATTTTCTCTTGTTTTGAGACACTGGTCTTGGGATTCAATTGTTACTTGAGATTAGTAAAAAAATCAGTCTAGTCGGAAGCTTGTTTCTTTCGTTTGACGTTGCCTCCTGTTACCCATACATTACAAACTTAAAACTAAAAAAAAGTACAAGGAACAATTTTAGAACTTATATATAAAATTATAAAAGCAAAAATACAAATAGTACATTAATAGGAAAATAGGGGGAATTAAATAATACTATCAGTTATAAATTGGGTACCCATCCATGAACATGAACAGAATTAATTTGCCAGACTTTATTCTCTTCTAAGTTTTGCTATTTTTATTTTACTTCCTTTCTTTCGTTCCCTTTGTCTATTAAGATTTGTTGAAAAAATATTATTAATTTTAAATGTGAAATAGTAAAATAAAAAAGCAAAATACACAAAGAAGCATCATTTCAAACGGTTCTTTTATTACCACTTAGTCCAGTTCTGGTATGGACCTCATGCAAATGAATATGAGATTCTTACAATTTAAAATATTTTTATTTATGCGATTAACAGTCTCCAGGCAACAATTAAGGTAAAACCCAGTGCCAAACTAACCTATACGAAAAATTCCCATCACCTAACCAATATAACAAACACAGCCCATGTACTTGATAACTAATTACAGTCTTGTTACAGTTTCAATATCACACAATACGAGAACTCACAAAGTAACATCAAACGAACGAAAGCAAAGTTTTTGGCAGTGAATGAAGGTTTTCAAAAATCCAGTAATTTATAATATAATATATACGATAGTTTAGATCACAATACAGTTAATACTTAAGGAATAAAACTTACCTAAGTCAAATACGATAAGTGGTGACAGCTTGTACATTTTCCCCATTAGGACTACTGCTATCGTTTTTTTAAACCTAGTATTAGCGTATTTCTTCAATTGGAGTATTAACTTTAAATCTCAAGTTTTAAAAATTCCAGTTTTAATCTAGTTTTACTGTTGGTCGCAATTATAGGAAACTTGCAAACGGGTATACTAAATGTGTATTTCTATCTTAGATCAATTTGAAGAAGGCATCAAAATTTGGCCTCAACAACAAATAACCTGTAAATTTTGTCACTTTCTGTTGCACTTTTAAACTAATGTTATTTAATTGTTGCATATATAAATTGTATAAAATGTTATTTTCTATGTGACTAAAAATATAAACATAAATATTCAAATATAATTGAATATGAATGTCTAGACTACACCTAAATAAAACTAATCCATAGAAATACTGGTAAATTTATAAAGGTTCACACACTTTCCTACTCGCCTTGTACAACCTAGAAGCAAATAACTGTTGCATCTGACAAATCAGAGGCGATGACTCAATTTAAACATAGCTTAGACATATACCTTACTCAATTGTACATACTAGGTAATTATTTATGCATAGTTTTTAAAGCGGAATTTTGCGATATTTCTTAGTAGTGGACAATGTACGAAACCAGTCACCACACAGTGGAATTTCAATACATATAAACTAGGAAGTGAAGTCAATTAGTGTGGAAGCAACCTCAGTCTTGTCATTCTTCTGATGTGAGCCGACAACGCTACGAATTCCTGAATGTTATCTGCGTTGCACTGAAATCATATTTAGGATTAAACTTAAAGTATTAAGTTTCTAGACACTGTTACTATTCAGACATCTTTTCACAGTCCACATGCCAACTTTATCTCTTATAATACCAACTTGTACGCAGTCCAGTCCATCCTGTTGATCCGATACAACGTTTAAGCAATAAGATAATGGACGACGACGATCTATTACCATCAGCTGAGCCGCATTCACATTAGAATTTCGAAAAAAAAAATGGAGATAGGCGAAATATTGCGGTATTATATAATCATAAACCACAACCACACCTACAAACCCACAGTTTGTTTTTGCAACAATTTTAGGTCTCGGCTGAAATTCGGCTGTAGCATTCCCTGACCATCAGTTCACACGGGTAACAAAAAATAATTAAATTAGTGTAATACAAAACCCGATTTCAATACTTCAACTAGGAAGGAACTCACCACAATTTTATGCTTCCGTAGGTTGCTCTATTGGATCAGTGCGTGGCTCCTCAGTCGGAACAGTTTTCACTTTGATGTCGGACACCTCAGCTTCAACCTTATTATCTTCTTGGACTTTTTCTGTTACAACAGAGTCACCATTGGAACCATTTAATTCTTCTTGTTTACCGTTCTCAGCTGACAATCGAGAACTCAATTCTTCATCTTTGCTAGCATCTCCATTCAAACTAACAGGTACAGTTTCTCTGTTTCTTTTCCCATTCATTTGTGACTCTGCTGATTCACTTTCAGGCTTGACTTCAACCCCTACAGTATTTTCTTTTGATTCTACAGGAACTTTTGTATCGCTGTCTGATATTTTCTCTGATATTTTTTGTTCTACATCTACTTCAACAGACGCTTCTGTACTTTCAGGCTCGCTTTTATTAGTTTCCTTAGTTATTTTGTCTTCTATTGACTCTGCTTTACTATCTTCAGGATCTTTTTCTGATTCTTTAGCTATTTCTTCACTCTTAATTTCTTCCCTTTGTTCTGCTAATTTTTCTTCAGGACTTACTTCTGATGCTTTGTCAGTAGCACCTTCCGAACTTTTTTTCTCGTCAACCGTAAGCGCTTTTGTTTCTTCTTCCTTTATTTCTGGTTCAGTATTTTTTGTATCAACATTTTCACTCTTTTCATTCTGTTTCATTTGTTCTATTTCGGTATCTAATATTCTATCAACTGTATCATTAGAATCTCCAGCTTCCATAGTTTCTTCAGCAATAGGTTTAAGTAAAGGTTTCACGGACATGGTGTCCAAGTTAGTGACGTCTTCAACTTTTGATAAAATTTCATCACATTCCTTTTCTAGAACCTCTCCAGCACTTTGTAAAACTTCTATATCTTCATTTGCTGGAGGTTCTTCAACTATGGGTTCAATATCATCAATTATTTCTTCAGCTTCCTCTAAAACTTTTTCATTCATTACTTCTTCGATTTCAGTAATAACCATGGGCGAAGTTTCTTCGGCAACAGGAGCAGCCTTCTTAGGCTTTTCCTTTTCCTTTTTATCGACCGTATCTTCTTTTCCTTTGGATTCATTCGTAGACGGTTCGGATTTTGTGGATTCAGTTTCCATTTGTTCAGTCTTTTTCTCTTCAGTATTCTCTACCATCTCCTCAATGACAATGGGCTCTACATCAGCTACAGGAACATCCATTGGTTCATCAGTAACTTCTTCAACAATGGTCTCTGTTACTACAGATGCAGCATCAGCTTCTTTTTGTTCGTTTACTTCTTTCGTAGAACCAATAACCTTTTCCTCTTCCTCTACTTCCATTTCTTCTGATTTCTTGGTTTCTTTTTCTACACTGGCAGAGACGACAGGCTCTACGTCAGGTATACTTTTGATATTGCCCTCGTTGTCAGTTTTGGCAATTTTTGCGGGCAGCTCGTCCTGAAACATGGAATTTCATTAATGAGATAAAATGATCCACCGTCTTTAAAAATATTTTTACTTTTAAAATTGATTTTTTTTATAGAATATGGGTTAAACACAGTCCGCCTGACGGTAAATGAATACTGTGACCCAAAATTCAGATGCAACCCCTAAGGACAAGATGGAATACCTTATTTCCAGTAAAAGGGTCTCCAGTTCTCTACACTCACCATACGAAATACAGCAGCATTAAGCGGCTATTTTACGATGGTATTCTGTGAGAGCATGGTCCTTCCCCGGTCGAGCCGACCCATTTGTGCTACAACCATAATATAGTTGCATCTACCACGTATATGCAACTATATGATTTTGGTTATGCGTGACACAAGACAATACAATATTCGTATAATTAGTATTCGCATCCCCCATGAATCTCCTCCCATTATCCATCCATTACAGCCTATTAAAGTCCACTACTGAACATAGGAGCTTCAAAGAATGACACATAGAGGGTATTTTGAATTGTAGCTATGCTTGGCCAGGTGGGTTGGCAACCAGTTATTTATACTTATAAACTTTATGTATCTTTCTACATACATAGAACAAAAACAGTTATAATACATTTGTAACAGAGACAATATCATTGACATAATACAAACAACGTAATAAAATCTAGAGTGAAAGACAAGAAGAGATGTTTGATAATTGATGATAATTGTAAAATAAATAGGAAGTGGCGTTAATAATAAAAAGCACGCAAAAAAAACTTAATTAGAATAAAAACGATTTTATTTCAATATAACTACAATATACCTGTTAAATATATAATCAATAGCTTATCTATGTAAAATATTTTTTTCTTTGGATTTCTTACAACATAATGCTGACAACGAGAAAGTAAACAAAAACTGAAAAAGTTGAGTATTTTCGTACATGGCTAAAATATCAACTACTGAAACTAATTAAAACTCACTAAAAGTAATTAAAAACTCACTAAAAGTTATTAAAAACTCACTAAAACTAATTAAAAACTCACTAAAACTAATTAAAAACTCATAAGTTCATTATTGTTGTACAATTCGGTGTATAATTAATTTTCAAATCTTTAATATAATTAATTACTGCAAAGTAATGCTTGGTTCTGTTATTTATAAAGATTACCTACCAAACATCTATAAATAAAATTAGCGGACAACAAAAACAAAGATTATGATAGTATAACACATAACACACGAAACGCCGTCGCAACAATCTCTTTGTACATTTCAAGTATTTTAATATAATATTATTATATACATTTATCACAATCACTTGCGATAGTAAGGTTGTAAAATTATTAAAAATAAAACAGTTTTTAACTTAGTGTTACCTCAGAATAAATAATAGTACTACATTCAGAAGTTGCGGTTCTTTGATATTGACTACTTACCGAAGTTTTAATATCCTTGTTATTATTAATTAGATAAATCACTTACGCTAAATTAAACCTTATCGCTGCGCGCTAGTGTCCGTATGACTTTGCATCTTTTCTCCTTCCTACGTCTTGGTCGATATTTCGTGGTTACCCAGAGCATTTCACAAATAGTAATACAGTATGTATAAAGTACCTTTTGATTATTTATTTAATTCTTGGACGATATTTCGTGGTTACCCAGGGCATTCCACAAATAGTAATACAGTATGTATAAAGTACCTTTTGATTATTTATTTAATTTACAACTGTTTTACTTTAATAGGTCTTATATCTTTTACCGTCTCTAAAATAACTGTTATAACTGTAAATAAATGTGACGCATAATTTTATGTAAATACTGAGGGAAAACAAGGAGGGATAAAATTAATATTCATTAATAATTTTAGTAAATTATTTGCTGGTTTTTTCATCATTATGTTTTCAAAATTGTAAATGAATATATTTTCAATTATAAACATCTAAATATACATATAAATTTCACTAAAACTATTTTATACTATAACTAAATATACTAAACAATAAACAAAAATATTTATACAAGTGTATACAAAAAATCTATTTACGTAAACAGTGTTCAAAAACTTTGCTAGTACGCCACTCGCTTAAAACGCGATAGCCCTGACTGCGTATGTAACCTGAGGTTCCGCGCGTTTGTAGGTATTTATATCACGCAGGTAGCATGAGTGACAGAGGCCTGGTGTTAATTTTAGCTTCTTCATTTTTAAGGAGACATAATTTTTTCTAATATAAGTTGTTATCTAGTTAATCTAGTCTAAACAGGCCTGTCTCACTCCGCGCTTTAGGCATGAAAATATACCTACGCTGCGCGGCCGCCTATTAGGGATTAATTCCGTGAGGTTTGAGCTGACGTACGCCTTACGTTAACAAAAAAATATTTTTCTCTTATAAGTATTTAGACACTTTTGATATTTATTTTTGAGTTTTTATTCAAGTATGGCAACTCAAAAAGCCAAAGTTACTGCATAGCATACGGGTACTTAAATAACAATAGGAATATCGAATTTTCATTCTTTACTGTTCCAACGGATATCGAAAGGTAAGATATTATTATTTATAGGTAGATTTAGATAATTAGTTACCATCGATCACTAATAAAAAAGTAGATGCACAATACCATACAAAAGTTCTCTAAAAACTGTCGCCAAATGTTTTGACGTAATTCTAGTTGATACATATACGTTAATGTAAATTCAACCTTAAATGCATTACCTAAAGTTGTATTGACAAAGCTACGTACAAAAAGCAATAAAATTTTACGACCGAGGTTCGTCGCTTGGACAAGGAGAGTGGAGTCGAACTGCACAATATTTTTTGTTACAGTAATTTTAATTTTATAATTCTGTTGAACGTTAAAAATAATTGGTCCACTTAATAAAGTATATTCTATTTTATTCTATGATGTATATACGTAATGGTTATATATTTACCTGAATGTAAAGATACTTTTGGATAGGGCACCACATTCATTTAGTAATGAAAGTAATTGGAACAGTCATAATTATGTATTTATTCTTTATCTTGTGTGAAAAATTTAAAGATTTTGCTTGACAAACAACTTAAATCTAAATATAATAGTTACTAAATATAAAAAGATAAGTACTGAAAGTTTTTGCAAAATCTAAGAATATTATTGTCCAAATTTTTGACGTAATGTCTGAATAATTATAATGATTTCTTATATTTACGCGTTCACTACACATTTAAATAAAACTAGTTTTACAGATTTTATCACTTATATTAACTTATTTTATATTCCCGACGTTTCGAGTACTATAATACATATAGAAACAGTAAAGAACTCCCATTAAACAAAAAAAATACAATCATACTTTAATAATAAAAAAATAAAAAAACAATAGCGTCTCCACAAATGGAACAGAATCAACGCATATACCTCGATCAATGACGACTTATTTTATTAAGACAATTTAAAAAATACTTTTACGATGATTTCTTGACAAAATATCAGTAATTACAATAAAGTGATAACAATTAAATAATGTTAATATTAATACTTACAGAAAATATGAATATCCATCCTTTTTTAGCGTCCTGGATGTGTGATTTTTACACTTTTTAAACGAGCACTGAGGCATATTTACCGTCGAGCATTCGAATGCTACTAGATTAAAAGTGCACCCATATGTTCGAGTGGGTGCACATTCGGTTAAGCCATTTTTTGTTACTGATTGTGTATCTAGTTTTTTATTAGTGATCGATGTTAGTTACCTAGTTACTGGCGCCATAGTTACACAGATTTATTACTTGATTAGCGACTCTACCACAGCTTCGGAATTTATCGTTTTTATCGCGTATAATGTCAATAACTTTAAAAAACATTCAGTATAATTAGACCTCTCTAGAGTGCTAGTGCCTGCTTACTAATCAGCATATACTGAAGGATTGTAGATAAACACTTTGTCGATAAAAGAAATGTTGAAAATAACAGCACTTCTCTTTGCTACTCTTTCATTAATAATGCCGTCACGAGTCGCATGTTTGTAAATAGTAAAAAATGTGAAACAGAAAATGGTAATTAGGTAAATTACCTGAGTTTCAAAGACGTTCACATTGTTATGATCTTAATTTTTCTCGATGTTGCATATTGCAAAATGTTAATTATTACCTAGCTACTTACAATAATATTAATAATAATTTATTAATACTGTATGTTGATCCACTGCTGGGACACAGGGCTCCTCCTATACGTAGGGGTTTGAGCAGTCGTCCACCAAGTGTCCCAATTGGTGGACGGAGTACTAGATAATTAGTACCTACTACTTACTACTTTGGATTCCCTTAGGCGCCTTTTCCTACACACACAGGCAGACATGGGGTGATGCTATCTACTATAACAGCATCACACAACATGTAATAGTAATAAAGTATAAGTAGGTAGTATTAGTATTACCTACTAATACTATATACCTTAATATATATAGATAATATACAGATAATACCTTTAACCTACCTTACATTGAACAATAGTATTCTTATAACAGCAAATTACTAATACATTGAATAACACCTCGGCGTATTCTACTACCAACTTATATCAAAGGATTCAATTTGTTTTGTCACAACACGTAACCCTACAGACCTAACCTTAACAAAGGCGCGTAACGGGCTAAGTGATATAGACACTCGCACGCGGACGTAAGGTGCATTTTGATTTAATACGCGCGCCGCATTTTTTTTTTCGACGATATAAACGGTAGGCTAATTTCACGAAGTATTAGGAACATTAGCGACGTTATAACTAAGTTTGAACTCGCAAGTTTGCTATCAGTGACCCTTCTGTTCTTGTACTATAATTTATTCTGCACTTGAACTTAATCAATGCACAAAAATAATGTTTTTTATTAAAATTTTAAATACGGGCAAGGGTTCTGTGAAGATAGAAACGCGCATCATAATAAAATAATTGGCTCGATAAAAATTCTAAATATATAAAAACTTATAAAGATGATAATTGCTATTTCAACGTGTACAGATTACCATAATAAAAATGTGTAAACTTGGGTATATCAAATGAAGAGGCTTATTACCTTTTATTTTGAGAAAAAAGAAATACGCATTTATTTTTTAAGCGCTGAGGAATGTACGACTTTCGAGTTAGACTACGTTTTTATCTAATATTCTCCCCGCTTTAGTACTGACTCTCTCGACAATGATAGGCAGCGACGTAAGGTTTTCATATCTACACACCATACTACAATAAGGACACCAAGTGATTAAAATACTGACTTACACTGTTGCTAATCAATTTATTTGTTTAAGACTTGAATTCTCCATAATATGTAGATGCATCAAGATATATATATATAATACACAATGCAGAGTTCTTGGGAGATTGTGACGACAACTTAAGGCAGCAGATATTCGATGACGACAGTATCTCAAATTCTTAAAGCGCCTTAGCGGACAAAATAACTTGTGATTTATATCACCAATGAAGCACTTGTTTTATCGACCACTAAGATTCTAAATGCACAGACAATACAAAAAAAAAACAAATAAATCATTTTTAAACGATAAAATATAAGCAACAATCAGCCGGTGATCAAGTTTCCTCCAAAACTAGCTAATCATAAAGTTATTTGTATGTCCAGTTTTAAAGGTGACATACATTATGTTTATTGTTACGGGAATTTTGGGATCATTGGAAGCACAATTTGTTTGAAGTTCCACATTGAAAGGAAATTATAAACCATATTCTGCTATATAAGGATTTCAAAAATAAGGGAAGGCAATTTTAATAAAATGTATGAAATTAATTAACCTTTATTTTATTTCAAAATGAAGACATCAAGTAGGCTAAATGGAGTTAGATCAATATCTAGTGATTTATAAGCCTAATATCTTGATTGTCAAATTGTCAAAAATTAATGTCTTTGGTTTAGTTTATAAATACGATAAAATATTTTGATTTTACTTGATTTCTCATTTAATTGATTCGCAACAACCCTTTTGATCATTTCTATGCTACGAGGGACTGTCTTCCTAATTTATGTAGGGTTACTCCGTGAATTAATAGGAAGCTATGTATGGTACAATGATTTTTTTTACAATTTAAATAAACGTTATTCTCTAACTGGTAGGTTATTTGATAAATAAAATTTATTATAAAACCATGTCAAAATACGCAATAACAACAAACATGTAATCTAAAATGTGAAATGTCAATTTATATATATGAGTTTTTTACTCTTTCATACTGCTTGACAAAAGCACGGGGAATTCTTTAGCGCTCTCTTACGTCATCATTTGTAAAAATTTAACATTAGCTACTAAGCATTAACTACTGCTTGGAAATCCAAAATAATAAAATTTGATGTAAATTGTAACCTACCTAAAATTAATGTATATATACCGAATTCTCTGTTTCTAGTTGAAAATAATTTCTAAAAGGGCTACTAATGTAGCAGTCTATAATCTATACCCTATAGTAAATATATTTAATCTATTTATGATATTTTATTTTTTACCATGTATATTCTGGTGTAAATACAGTTACAGCCATCTACCAACTTAAAGAGGTCACTCAATAAGTTTTGAGGTGCTCGAAATTTAAAATTGAAACGCACCCGTGTTATATGTTTCTAAAAAGCAAATTTATTTAAAAATAGAACTTCATAAGCCAATTATTCAATATTAAAAAAAACAAAGTTCTATTAATTTTCCTGCAACGCTTCCCGCGCTTTTCATTTAAAACGATGGATCTTAACCGTGAACATTTGCGCGCTATGATATATTATGATTTTAAATTTGGTTTAATCGAATGATTAAGTTTACAACGGTTACAATCAGCATTAGGAGACTCAGCTCCATCACGCGCAACAATTTTAGGTGGTTTGGCTGTATTCAAAAGCGGTAAAATTAATCTTAAAGATGACCAAAGAACCAGGGCTCCGCAAACAGCAGTAACGGCAGAAAATGTATGGACTACTGAAATGTTGGCACGAGAAGACCCACAAATCACATATACGGACATCGAAAAGATTGTAGGCATTAGCTCGGGGAGCATTCATACCATCCCTACATCCTACAAAACATCACCCAATCTTCGAGTGAGGAAGCTTTGTTGTCGATGGATTCGTTTGCTCTCCGAAAACGAAAAACAGACTCGTGTGGATTGGTGCCATGAAATGCGTCTACGTTTTGAAAACGAGACATCTAGGCGTGTTTCAGAAATCGTTACTGGTGACGAGACTTGAATCTATCAATATGATCCGGAAAATAAAAGGCAATCATCGGTATAGGTCTACTCAGAAGGACAGTTACCGACAAATCTGCAAAGACCTCGTAACGTTGGCAAAAAGATAGTGGTTAGTTTTATTTCGCGGAGGGGACATTTGTCGACGTCAATGCTGGAAAATTGTAGGTCAGTCAACTCTGAATGGTATACTACAGTTGCATTACTCAAAGCTTTTCAAGCTATGCGGGAGAGAAGACCAAAGACCTGGCTTCGGGGAATCATGATAAAAATTTATTTAAAAAAAGTCCCGCTGGGTTTCTTGCTGGTTCTTCCCAGGACAGAGGGTTCTTCTCGAACCAGTGATAAAGTAAAAAATGAGTTTCAGTAAGAATTACATATGTAATCTATATTGAATAAAAAATTATTCTACTCTTATTCTATTCCATTCTATTCATGCTGCATCACGATAACGTCGTGTGAAGAGGTCACATACCTCCCATAGAACAAAAGCATTTATTGAGGAATCTGGTGTTGAAACTCTTAAGTCGCCACCCTACAGCCCTGACTTAGCTCCTTGTGATTTCTTTTTGTTCCCAAGAGTCAAAAAATAAATAAAAGGCAAGTTTTTCCAAGCGCCGAAGAAGACGTAGCTGCCTACGAAGAAGCGATTTTCGACCTGTCAGATCAAGAATGGCAAGTGTTTTCAGAGTTGGTTTAGCCGAATGAAACTTCGTGGTGTGGTAGGGTGTGTGAGAGCGTGTTTGATAGCATGTGTGTGGTAGCGTTGTGATGGCATGTGTGGCGGCGTGTGTGGTAGTGTGTGTGTTAGCGTGTGTAGTGGGGTGCGTGGTAGCGTGTGTGGTAGCACGTGTGTTAGCGTGTGTGGTGGCGCGGCACCTGTGGCTCGGTCTTGCGCTTGTTGGAGGCGAGCTGCGCGAGGCTGTGCAGCACGGCGAAGGCGGCGGCGGCGCCGGCGGGCAGCGGCGCGTTGCCCTCGCGGCTCACCAGCGCCGCGTGCATCCCCGCCGCGCGCGCCGCCTCTGCCTCTGCATCAGTACCATACGCCTTTTTCAATTTCCAAACGTTAATATCATAGAACACGCCCCACTACTGGCGGATCGGAGGGTAGTAGCAGTACAGTGTGTCATTTTTTGCAGGGGGAAATCTCTGCACACAAATACAATCGTCTGTCACTACGAAACACACATAACAATTGAAACAATATACTAACAATTTCATACACACATAGATACATTATAACACTATCGCTGTGACAACATCAACTCAGATACAGACTCAAGTCAGTCGAAGAGGTGTAATAGTATTATGATAGGTAACTTATATATGATAGGTAACGCCAACGCCATCTTTTTGTATATTTGACGTAATTTCTCTCGTGGGAGATACTCCTTTTGCAGCAAAAAACTGAACAAATCGGCATTTTTGTAGGACGTCCATTCAGCCGCGCAACTAGATTTAATCTAGTGAGCAGTGCGGCTGCAACCAGTTTTATTGTACGCACAGGACCGCGTGGACTTGTACTTTCACAGAAGAGATCGCCTACATATGGCTACTCCCCTCTGGTCCGCTGCTAGCCCGTGTTACTCTTCATATATGGGCACGTAAGAATTGTGCCATACAAATGTTTTCACACGCGCTATGCGCGCATGTTTGAATCAAGTTTAAAGACAATGATAGCTTAATCTTATAATAAACTTCCACTTACCAGATGTCGCTAGTTGGGACTGAGTTGAAGTTATTTGTTAAAGGGCATTATAATTGAGAAATTAAGAATAGAAATTTATCGGTTTCTAGAGTATGTTAACGTACAAAACAATGCCTCAGTTATTTACTCTTTATACATTCTTTAATATTTAATGCTTTTATAATATAAATATGAAAGTGTGTGTTGGTTAGTTAGATTCTCCTTCTTACATCCAGTAATGATGCAAAAAATTAACATAATTGCTAACATAAACATAATTTATCAGCCAGAGATTAGGTAACCTAAACTACTTCTAATTCTGAGATCCTCGCGTAATAAGCTAAAGCTCGGATTATTCCACAAGGTGCTGCTAATACTAAAAATAAATTGGAGGTTTAATTCCGTTAACCGTAATCATTTAGCGTCACATCCTATGGAAGTCGACTGGTGAACGTAGGCCTCCCACACAGATTGCCCATAGGTGCCACGCTTGGCAGGCGGGTGGGCAAACCGCAGTCTTTTTTATTTTTAGTCGTTATTAGGAAGACCTTGCCGCCCATCTCCTGGTTTGTTTGCTTCTGTCGCCTTTTACGACACCCACGGGATAATATGGATATTCTTACACCACCACTACACTGTAACCATTAACCACATGTCTTATTTTCATCTTTTGAGATAGGAATATTTTTTTCTTTTAATTTGCTATGAGATTATGTACTGTATTATGTGTTGCAAAAAGAAAAACTTATACTGGCAACATCGTGACTCGCGATTGCAACGCTGTTGTGTATGCGGTAGTTTTTTGGTGGCACTGACTATAAATATACGCATACTCGCGTTAATTCCCATGCTTAACAGTTTCCCTGTCCACGAAACAAACACAATAGTTAAACAATTGAAATGTTCATATATGCTTCAGTGCACAGGAGAAGGGTCAATATCCGGTTTGGATATTGCAGTATCCGAAATCCTGCATCTTTCTGACTGCAACCTGTCGACTAGTCTTGATATTTTTCTTCTGGCAGACAAAAGATGGTTTTACCGTAATACTCGTAACTACCCTCATTGTCACCCACAGAATGATATGAGGTTATTGTATTTATAAAAAATGCTAAAAATAAATATCTTTAATATCAATTGGTTGTATATCTATCTATACAGATAAATAAAATTGAAGTGTCTGTTTGTAATGTCAAAATTAAAGTCTTTTACTAAATGCATATGAAAGTAAATACGGTACCTATAACCAAAATACAATTTTAAAATTTTTGTCTGTCTGTCTGTTTGTTCCGGGTAATTTCCGAATTGGCTGGACCGATTTTGACGGGACTTTCACTGGCAGATAGCAGATTTCATAAGCAGTAACTTAGGCTACTTTTATTTTACAAAAAGTATTAGTGTTCTGTGCAAAAACATAAAAACCCTAACACGCGAGCGAAGTCGCGGGGAACAGCTAGTTTAATATATAACCTTCTCACTACTGTAACAGGTGAATAATATATACAGCAAGTATGAGTTGAGGAAAAATAAAAATATTTACCTTTTACAACATCGGTAAGAAACAGAATCTCATCAGGTTTGCAGCCAATACTCTCTGCTATCGCAGTATAACTGCCAGCCTCCTGCTTAGCGCCAACAGCGGTGTCAAAGTGTCCTTCTATGAATCGTAGGAGATCTCCCGCTTCGGATTGCCCAAAAAGCATCTTCTGTGCTTGGACTGAGCCTGAAGAGTAAATATAGACTTTTTGTCCTTCGACAGATTGCCATTGCTCAAGGGCCGGTGATACGTCGTCATAAACGCTGAAATAGAGATAATAAACATATAACTTTCAGACAAAAAGCACTTATCTATAAAAATAAAACCAAAACTTTTCATATAAAAGTTTAACAAAATCTTTCTCAAAATCGATTGAAATAAAGCTACAATGTAAAACAATGGAATGAAATTTAGTAAAATGTTCAAGTATTTATTATTTACAATGTTATTACAAGACTGCCATATGATGTGGAATAATATCTTTATAACATATACTAGCTGTGCCCAATCTAATGTGGCAATGCTCGTAATCGGATGGAAAACATATAAAACAAGCATTTGTTAATTTTTACTTGTGAGTATCCTTCGCGAGCACGCACACAATAACTCATCCAAGTTTATCATAATAATTAAATGAATGGAAGAGATATTGGACAAAAAAGAAACATTAATTTCTGTACAAACAAAAAGTATTCTTGTCTGAAAGTCCCTACTTCGGAATCATATTTGTATGAGTGAGGTTAATGATAATGTTAATATTCCCTAATCTAATTTCACGGTTCACACACTATACCACACATTCTTCTAGATATATTATATCAGCGCATAAGTATTATTTCATATAACAACATACAGTAAAACTATTTTCGAAAATTCTAACCTCATATTCTTTTATTTTCACTATCTTTATTATTTTAAACAATATGGGAAGCGACTTTAAACCCACATTTGAAAGAAGGTTGTACACTTCAAGCAACCCCGAAATCTGGTTATACTTCAAGAGAGTTTGACAGAGAAAAGACCAAAATTTAATATTTTTGAAATGAAATCTTAAAAAGAGATAACCATATACATCTATAGGATTAAGCCTGCGAGAGAATGAGATAGAAAAGAGTGTAGTAAGCAACAAGTAGCTTAAGGGCAGGGTGTGGACCACGAACTCAAAAAATTGTGCATTCTAATCCTCCATTCGACTACTGTCGTGAACTACTCCTAACACAAGGATTTTTAGCTTACCAGTGGTATTAAAAAAAAAACAGTGTTTCTTACTATCTCGATCTCCTTTTTGTGTGTTGCTTTAAAGATAAATAATAATAGGTTGGGGAAAATTTCTTCGTATTTTGTTTGTATAAAATTGAAGAAAAATCTCTTCGGTTGTACTGTTTGCATCTGGCTGGTTTTAATATAGGACATACATTACATGTTGGAAAATTAAGAAACAGAAAAATAAAACTTAAAAAAAAAACACTTTCCTCCCACTTCTCAATTGTTTTCTGTTCTTCAAAATTAGTGAATCTAACGAAGAAATTCGATACATTCTGAAGTTTTATAACAAAAAAAGGAAAAATGAGAGAAGTGGTAAACAATTATTAGTTACCACTCTGCAGTAACTGTTTTTCCATTCTTTAAAACAATTGTTGCGCAATGACCTATCCTTCCGAAGAACGAGGCCACCATCTTTTTTCCCATACTTGGACCTCTGTTCACTTTAATTGGCAACTCCTCGGAAGGAAACACCCAGACAGCAGACTGTCTCTTAGTTTCAGGATCATAAGAATAAATTCAGCTTTCGTCACTCGTAAGTATGTCGAACACAGACCGAAGATAGGGCTTCATCATGAAAGGCCAATCAAAGTCTATCATAACTTTCTCGTTGACTTAACATCGAAAGTCATAAAAAACCATTGTAGGAAAATTTTCTCGCGTTAAAGTCATGCTGACATGACACAGACAATTTTCAATTTGCCGCCAAATCGTAAACAAATGACAAATTGAGTGATTCTAACTGTCCCCAACTATCCTGAAGTTTTATTACAAAAAAGGGAAAATGCGACTCAAGCCGTGAAAAAAATTTGTGACGTTTATGGACCTAATGCAGTGTCAGTAAGAGTAGGACAAAGTTGGTTCAAGCGTTTTTAGTCCAGGAATTTTGATATCAAATATGCAGCTTGCTCTGGTCGCCCTCATACTGATAAAGTCAATGCCATTTTTAAAAAGTGGAGCAAGATTATATATCAGTTTTACGACATAGCCGAGTAATTGAGGATTGAACAAAAACAGTTTTGACCCATTTGAAAAGTCTGGCTATACAAAAAAGATCAATATTAGGGTACCACACGAGTTCACTGGAAGAAACCTAATGAATCGTGTACTCATTTGCGATTCTCTATTGAAAAGTAAAGAAACCAGAACCACTTTTGAAAAGATCACTGGCGATGCTAAGTAGATCACCTACCACACACACACACACACACACACACAACGTGCGATAAAGATCATAGCAGAGGGTAGTCAAGCTCCACAGACTTGACCGTAACCTGGATTAACACGCAATAAGGTGATGCTGCGTGTATGGTGGGATTATAGGGGCATCATTTATTATAGCTTTTACCGCCGGGCAAAAACATCCATTTAGATCTCTACTGCCAACAACTAATGAGACTCAAAAAATACACAACAAAAAATTGAGGAAAAACGACCTGAATTGATCAATAGAAAAGGAGTGGTCTTTCATTATGATAACGCCAGAACACACACACTTTGGCCATTCAGCGAAAGTTGAGAGAGCTTGGTTGGAAAGTGTTAATGCATCCACCTAGTCCTGACCTTGCATCCACTGGTGTTAACATAAGCCACTCGCGTCATTTCTTGAAATTGAAAACTTGGAGTCTGTTTAATACATATTAATGTAATATGTAGAATAAAATGTAAAATATTTTTTTTAACTTGATAACAATATTACTTATAATAAAACAAATAAACCCTATAATTATCCTACTACTGATACTCTGCAATCGTCTCGTTCTCGCGAAGTTTACTTTTCTGAAGGTATCACTTCTACTGCTTCTACTGCACACGTTTTTTTGACATTTGAAAATAGAATTTTTCATATTGTCAAATACAATTAATACTGGCTGTGAGGCGTTTATCTTAGTGCTTACGGATGATAGGGATCTTCTGTAGGAGCCATATTTGTTTGAAGTTGGTAGGTTATTGACAAAAGGGTTGTAATATGTCCTTACTGTAAACTGTCAGCTCATTTGTCACTCTAATATTAAAAGAAAATTAAAAAAATACAATTATATAAGTACTTTCTCAAGTTTTATTTATTTATTATTGTTAATTTGTTTAATTAACATTGTGACATATATTTTTAATTGGTATTCTGCTTAGGCCACTAATTCACAGGAATTTCAATGTGGCTACCCTTGAGTACAATTATTACAATAATTGATAGCAATTTTAAGTTATATACTGTATAAAATGAATGTGCAAGAACTTACTGCCCCTTAATATCACCATTATCATATCCCTGCTTCCAGATGAGCCCCTGGAGCTGCTTTAAAGGGCCCACCTTACGGTCAGCAGACATCTGCCACTTCACATTATTCACCACACCCTCGATCTGATCCTCCTTTGATGCATCCTGAAAAATAAATACAAAATAATTAAGTACGGTATATTATCTGCAGCCACTTTTTTTTTTCAAATAAAATTGAAGTAACATAAACTTCCAGTCTACCTGATGGTAAGTGCCTACTGCAGCCCATAAACACCTGCAACCAACTCCAAAGAAGGTTACAGATGAGTTACCACCTTTTTGAGGATATATAAAACAAGATGGAATGACTGTAATTAATAATAATACTGGCTCTATACCCTTTCGAATCTGAACACATTAGTGCACACACTACTATTACAGAAATAGGTAGGAAAGTGCTAAATACCTAGACGGTATCCTAGGCAGAAAAGGAGTCCTTTCACCTAGTATAAGTAGAATAAATCATCATGCGTAATTTTAACGTTTAATGCTGAAGGATCCAGCATAAAATAGCAGCTTAATACTGCTGTGTTTCGTATGGTGAATGTAGAAAACCGGAGACATTTTTACTGGAAATGACGCATTCCATCTTAGTCGTTAGGGGTGACAACGCATCTGCATTTGATTCTTAATTGAGGATAAATGTAGATGTCTATGGGCCACAGCATCCACTTAGCATCAGGTGAACTGTGTGCTCGTTTGTCACCCACATTCTATAAAAAAATGTGTTATTAAAAATAATTATATTATTTATATGTTATTTAAAATAATTAGATTTCTCCACAATCAAACACTGCTTTTCTCCTGCATTGTGGTAGTGCTTTTCTCCTACATTGTGGTAGAAGATAACCCTTGGTCTCTAGTAAAAGTAAAGTAAAAGCACTTTTTTTACTTATTTCATAAGGTTCTAAAAGTACCTATTATCAATCAAAGACAATATTAGAGTATGATAGTTATAAAAATCAAGTATACCTCTCCAGGAATATGGACGACTCCATCAACACTTTTCTCTTTATCTTCCAAAGCAAGTTTCCGGAGTGCTGTTACTGCCTCTTTAACATCCTCTTGTTCCCACTGGGTTTCAAGAAACTGTTTCACTTTTTCCTCTGCATAGGGAAATAATTTATCCTGTAACAAAGAATTTTAATGTTAATTTTTGTGGTACATGTCACATAGTAATACCAAAAATTAAATAGATAATTTTTTTATAATAAATTATATATGCACTAAGATAATGCCAAGAAAATGCCATGTTATAGGTTTCGCCATTATCTTAGAGGGCAGATTTTATGTTCTCCTGGCCGATTTTGACCACAGTAAAAACTTTTTCCATCAAACACATACTTCCATCATAACACTTGTGTGATAGATATAGAAGCAGTGTCAAGATATTAACATAATTTTTTTTATAAGATAAGGGTGACAAGTGAGCACAAAGTCCACATATCGAGTGAAGTGCAGTTTCGTGGTCACTTGGAAGAGAAGGCCAAATTGGCCTCTAAGAAGCTTGGCGTGCTCAGCAGAGCGGGACAGTATTTCATGCCGTCACAACGCCTGCAACTTTACAAGGCGCAGGTTCGGCCTCACATGGAATAGTGTTCCCATCTCTGAGCTGGGGCTCACCAGTGCCAGCTCCTTCCACTTGACCGCATCTAGCGCAGAGCGGCTCGAATCGTCGACGACCTTGTCCTTTCCGATCGACTCGATTCATTGGAGCTGCGAAGAGATGTTGCATCTCTTTGAATTTTCTTTCGCATTTACCACGAGGAGTGCTCTGAGATATTGTTCGGATTAATCCCAGCCGCCAAATTTCACGAACGCACATCGCGGCAGAACTCCCGATACCATCCACCATCTGGATGATTGACGGTCCACCACTGTGCGATTTAGAAGATGTTTTCTTCCTCGCACAACTTCCTTGTGCAATAGTTTACCGCCAGCGATTTTTCCGGACCGATACGACTTAGGGACCTTCAAGAAAAGAGCCTACTCCTCTTTAAAAGGCCGGCAACGCATCTGCAATTCCCCTGGTTCCCCCGGTGTTGCGGTTGTTCATGGGCGGCGGTAGTCACTTACCATCAGGTGAGCCGCATGCTCGTTTGCCCCCTCTCCTATAAAAAAAGTGGTTGCTACGGCCCATAGACATCTACATCTATCCTCGCGTTTGCGAATCAAAATGCAGATGCGTTTTCAGCCATGAGGACTAAGATGGAATGACTCTTTTCGAGTAAAAAGGGTTATGGGATATATACCAGTTGAACAAAGGGAAAGTTTCACTCTATACACACACTACAACAATAGAAATAATCAATTGATCAAGTGAAAACTAATCGAAAACAACTAAAGCTAAAGTATTAATGATAAAGAAAAAATAAAAGTAGCTACGAAATAATTATTAAAAAAAAACAAATTAATTAAAATTGGGAAGTAAATAAAATTATAATTCCAATTACATCTAAATGTTATTTACAACAGGTATTTTTGTATATCTGCAAAATTATCAATCTGCTTATTTCTCAGCATAGTGATTAACTTGTTTTACAGTTCAAATTCCAATAAACAAAATAAATAAAATATCGTGTTCCTGGTGTGCAGGCATTTCCTGATATATGTATGTAATCAAGAAATAAGGTTTTTTGAACAAACAGTTTTTATATATAGACAAGCTGCTATGATAATTATGTAAATTTACGATTCGTACATCTTAATACTTTGGTCAATATTCTCATTGAGACAGAACGATTTTCGTATAGGTAGCTCAATTTCTTTATGGCAACAACTTCAGAGTGTGAGTATGGAAAGCTATTTGTTAACTGCGTAAATCTTATAGTAGTGTCTATAGTACCCATAAATAACGCTTAAGTAATAAGACTGTAAATATTCAAAAAAAATTGATTGCGGCTGGGATCAGCAAGCCAAGTAAAATCTATTATTTATCAGATCATACAAACACTTGTTTCATACGGGATTCGAACCCGCAACCTCGTAGCACTACAGCCTACGCTTAGCTACTGCGCTACAGAGCTACCCTTAAAAATGAAAGGTCTTTTTAAAGCTGCGCAATTCTGGTTACAGTTGAGTCTTCAAATTTCGAGAACTTACATACATATGTCATTTCTGAGTCACGTTATTAGTACCTTTTAATACAACAGTATAATGACGCATGATAAAATAATACTCACATTGAAGTTTAAAACGTGTACATTTATATAATACGTAGATGTGCTTGAAGTTTTATATGGTTGAAGACACATTTACAGCCGTTGTCGGCAATACTGATTTCTTTTATAAATTACTATTATAAAATGCGTGTGAAATAAGAACAACTACTTAAAATTCATCAGTTTCAAGCAGCTAGCTATGTTGTATTTTTAAACCAGCTTACTAAGAAACTTTTCACATAAAACGGTTTTATTTTTCAGACGCTGAAAATGACTTTTTTAAGCGCCTACATAGGCTGCACTAAAAGTATCGGGAATGGAATATTTCCACTGTTCCTGTCATATTAAAATCTTTTTAATTGAAAACTTGGTTTTAAAGATCGAATACCATTTATTTATTTAAAAAAAGATTCTCGGTCTTGTCACAAGGTTTTGTCAAACTTGTTTAGTCGTTGAGAAAATGGAATTGACTCGAGAAAATTCAAGAGCGATAATTTATTATGACTTTTGAAGTGGTTTAAGCAGGGCCGGTCAACTTCCTAATAGCAGATTGGCACCGGGAGATGACCTTGGGGGGCTTTAAAGAAGCGAGATGGATTAATATCTATCTCCCTCGCACGTTATGTTATATTGCCATGAAAGAAATATTATTTTAAATGACACATCATTTTAATCATTTTTTTATTTAATAATTATAATACTTTATTATATAATATATTTCGTTAAACATATATTTATTACGTCTTTATTGAAGTAACAAAATGTATAAATATGAAACTGCATACTATAATAAAAAGGCAAGTTATGGCAACGGCAAATAAACAAAATTACAAATGGCAGATCCGTTGCGCTTGCCGTTTCGTTCTTGTTTATTTGTGTTGCAAATTAAGTTTATCTTTCGATATAAACTTATTTCTTACATTACTAACGTTGAGTTGAACATCCCGTTCCTCCGTTTTAGTGTTTACAGTGAGAAAGAGACTCAAAAACAAGTGCTGTGCATTGTGCACATCTAAAGAGACAGAGACTCAATTTTATCTTTCATCATGAAAGAAAACGAAAGGAAATGTTACAAGTGTGGATGTTCTCCTGCTCATGATCGTAACATCACCTTGCATCGTTTTCCTAAGCCTGGGAGAACAAATAGCGTACGGTACGTATGCTAAATAGCTTTTTGATTACTGATTAAAACAGTTTTAAAATGTTTAAATTTGAACCACTGAATTAATAAAGTAGCAGAAATAAAAATTATTATGGGCCGCATCGGCTAATAAAACTTAAGATACATATTAAGCGATTTAAAAACGTGTGCAAATAAATCTGAAAATTAGAGAAATTATGCAGAACACATAGAAATAACTTGTGGAATAATATTTATATATGTATACAATACAATCACATTGTTTGAAAGGAACAATCTTCTTGTATTGAACTCTTCTTCCAAGCACGTTTTTAGCACCTCAGTAGTATATTACTATCTAATTGTATTTTTTCAGATGTGAATTATGGGCGAAGTACTGTTTTCCTCATGAATCTTGGTGGTCACCAGAATTTCAAAACAATCTTCATTCTAGGCATTTAATGTTGTGCACTAAACATTTTAAGAAATCATCATTCATTGATAATTTTGGAAAGAGGCTAGTCAAATCTGCAGTACCTGATGAGGAATGTGATAAGGTTAGTTAATCTTTCTTTTGTTACTATCTACATTTTTTACTTTTGTGTGGCTTTTCTCATACTACAGTAAAAATATTATCTAGTTAACAAACAGTGGTAGCAGATTGAGTGGTGATTTATAAGGGTATGCGACGTAACCTACCATTACTTCTCAACCATAAAAAAACAAAAGATATAAACTTTAAAAAAAAGTTATCTTTTATTTTAAAAAAAAAACCTTATCCATACTAGGATTTTCTCCTCTTTGTGGAGGCAGTTTACAAACATAAATTGGATGAGGACAAACAACCCCCGGCACAATTATTTATAGGCCTTGGGTCAATTTAAAATCGGTGGCAGAAAATGTGACTGTAAATTTCGAAAACAAAAGAAAATAAAATTCTGTTTAACTTAGTTGTATAGGTATTTATGCTATGTAGATATCATTGTTAAATGCAATATTGTGGTTGGGCGCGATGTCTTGCCACTATTTTTAGATTTTCAAGGAATTTACTAGTGCAGGGTAAAAAAAATTACAACTCTGTTACCATCATATATTTATTCATATTTAAACAACAAACAATTATTTTTAGAAACATTCTTTGTTATGAACATTAATTAAGTCTTTACTCTCATGTTCAACATGCAAAATTACACAATAGTTCTTCTTAAGTAGGAACAGTAATGGAAGTTAAATATACTCTGTTACTTCCTTTGTTTTAATGATCAAATTTTCACTATAAACTATGTAAATTGAATTAAATTATTAAAATATAATGATGATGTTGTGTATAAATGAGAATATTAAATAATTAATAAACAATGCATAGAGTCAGGTGTCAGCTTTTCATAAAATTCGAGACATTACTCTTATATATTTAGGGACACAAAAGTAACAAAGTTGTAGGAACAATAACATAGTTCTAATATTCGCAACAAATTTATGAACTACTATCACAAAAAACAATATTTTTGGCTATGAATTGTTTTAAGAAGTTTAGAAACTTAATTAGATTATAAAACTTAAGGGGAAAAAGCTAAAAAATCTTATTGAGATCAAATTAAACCTAAGCTGATAACTTATTTTTCAAATATCTCTAGTGGAGTATGGAACTGGTAATATACCCTTTTGCCTTTATTTACTTTTTAGGTACTGAAACAACTCTTATGAAACTCTCATATTGTTCATATGATATATCATTTTAAACTAATTTGTATGTTTTTCTAGTATCGTCAACAGAATTTAAAAAGACAATTTTTACTTCACCATCATCGTCTACTTCGCTTAATGCTTTGCGTAGATAAACACTT